GTCACAATTTAAATCTCATGTTGCATGTTGATCAACATTTTTATATTTATAGTATTTTAATACTTTTGTCTTTTATGCTAAAATTAAGAGTGATTTACTCTCCTCTATTATATGTATTATATACTCACCACAGTATTACAGTATTCTGTATTTGTCTGTATATTCACCTCTACCAAGGAGTTTTATACTTTAATATACTTTCATATTGCCACTTAGCATTCTTATGTTTCATTGTGAAGAACTCTTAGCATTTCTTGTAATGCAGATCTCCTGGTAATGAACTCTCTCAACTTTTGTTTGGTAAAGTTTTATTCATTTCTTCATTTTTGAAAGACAGTTTTGCTAGGTAAGTTATTCTTAGGTGGCAATATTTTTTTTCCTTTCAGTGCTTTGAATATACTGTCCTTCTCCCTTCTGGCCTCTAAGGTTTCCACTGAACAATCTCCTCAAAGAGAGTATTACATTGTATGTAAAGTCTTTTTTCTTGCTCTTTTCAAAATTCTCTTGGTCTTTGAATTTTGACTAATTATAATGTGTCTATATGTGAACTTCTTTGGGTTCCATTTATTTGGGGTCTATTGAGCCTTCTGGATCTAAATATCTTCTTCCCTAGATTTGGGGAGTTTTCAGCTATTGTTCCTTTACATAAGCTTTTTCTCTCTCTCTTCTCCTTCTAGGACCACCATAATGGATATGTTGGTCCACTTGATGGTATCATATAAATCCCTGAAGTTTTCTTTGCTCTATTTCATTCTTTTCACTTTCTGCTTTTCTTTCTAGATTAGTTCCAATATCCTGTCTTAGACTTTGCTGATCTTTTTATCTGCTTAATCTACTCTGCTGTTGAACACCTCTAATGAATATTTGAGTTCAGTTATTCTTCAGCTTCAAGATTTTTGAGTTTTTTATTCCTTTATTGAGTTTTATATTCCTTTATTGAAATGTTCTCTTCGTTCATGCATTGTTCTCCTGACCTCATTTAGTATCTTTATGACAGTTATTTTGAATTCTCTGTCACACAAATCATATATCTCCATTTCATTAGAGTCTGTTTCAAAGATTTATTTTTTTCCTTTTTTGAATATATTCCCGTTTTCTTCATTTTCTTCAGCAATTTTTGTTGCTGTATATGGATTAGAGAAAACAGCTATTTGTCCCAGTCTTCACACACTAACTTCATGGGAGAAGACCTTTAACACCTTCATGCTAATCCATCCTACCTTTTTTTTTTTTTTCTTAGTGGCTCCTATATGTCAAGAGTGTTCCAGGTCCATTCAGCTCTCCAAGACAAATGAGAATAAAGTTAGTCCCTTGGGAACACTGAAAAATTTAATCACTGGACACTTTGTCCAGCTCTTTCCCTCTCCAGGGGAAGAAGTTGGAATCTGAAGTTTTGCCCCCATTTACTCTGCACTGGGCTTGATGATGTGCTATAATAGCTGCTAGTTCAAACTGCCATCTTCTTTCTCACTGTCAGGCAGCAAGAGTATGCTGGATCTCAGCACTCCAAGATAAGTGAGGCAGAAGCAGTCCTTTGTGTATCTGCTAAATAAGTTGGGACATCAGGTATGCAGTCCAAGTCCTTAGCTCCCCAAGGAAAAGCCGAGAACTGGAGTTTTTTTTATCTGCTCACTCTTCTTAGTCAGGGAAGGAACTAGGGTGACTGCCAGCGGAGTGTTATCTTTTGACAGAGACAGCCGCTTGTCCATTTGCCTTATAATGCTTTTGGAAGAATGCCCTCCACCTAGTGAGGCTTCTGGGCTAGGCAAAATGAAGGAAAAACCTTTCCTCATTCCATCAGTGAACCCCAGTCAGTTCAATACACATAAATATAATTCCTTAAGAACAAAGTCTCCTATACTCCTTCCAGAAACAGGAATCCTCAGCAGAAATGCAGGCTGCTGTCTTCAAGATCCCACTGAGTCAGAGTGGGATATGGAACAAAATAAGCTAAAATGCCACATTGTCACCACATTTCAGTCACCTTTCTCTTTTTATAATTTTTATTTATATTTTTAATTCCAGTATGGTTCACATACAGTGTTATATTAGTTTCAGTTTCAGGTTTCACTACAGTGATTCAATAGTTCTATACATCACTCAGTGTTCATCGTGATAAGTATACTCTTTTTTTAAATCTTCGTTTCAGTATCGTTCACATACAGTGTTATATTAGTGTCAGCTGTACAATGTAGCAATTCAGCAGTTCCCTATATTACTCTGTGCTTATCTAGATAAGTGTACTCTTCATCTTAAGTGTTGTTAATTAAGAATTAACAAGTTGATTCTGACAGCTTTTGCCCTTTTTTTAGTGTTTTTATGGAAAACCAAGTGCTTTTACTTCCCTGATCTTTCACTATCACTGTCATTAAAAACATCTTAACATGCAAGAATTTGAATAATAGTTTGGGAAGCAATGAGCCTAATGAAAATAAAATTCTAAATTCTTCACATATTTTAGGAAGTGTTTTCTAAGTATTGTTTATAAAATAATGCTATTAATAACATTAATTCATGTATCACAAACAGGAAAGTTTGTGTTCAGCTTTTTAAGAACATAATTTCATATTAAAATTTCCTTGTGTGGATATAGTCTGTATATTTATTATTCAAGGCCATATGGCATTTTTAGTAGTTACCTAGTATTCTCTTTAATAGCCATAAAGTAGTCTTTTAAATTAATATGCTGTGGTTAACATGTCATTTTATATTCTTTTTTTTATGTTTTCTTTAACATTTGCCTTCAATGCTAAATAAGTAGCCCTATTTAGATGTCTTTGAAATACTTTTTCCACTTTGGATTATATTTTTAAATATAGTTTTCAAAAATATATTTTAAGACAGTATATTTTTTAGTCATCTCAATTGATGCAGAAAAATGATTTTACAAAATTCAACATCCACTTATAATAAAGACTTTCAATGAAGTGGGAATAGAGGTAACATATTTGAACCTAACAAAGGTCATATATGACAAGCCCACAGCTAATATCATATTCAACAGTAAAAACCTAAAAGCTTTATTTCTGAGATCAGGAATAAAACAAGGATACCTAGTCTTGTCACTTTTATTTAACCTAATATAGGGAGTCCTAGCCAAAACAATTAGACAAGAAAAAGAAATAAACTGCACACTAATCAAAAAGGAAAAGGGAAAGCTCAGATGATATTATATTATAAGTAAAAAACTATAAAGTCTCCACTAAAAACTGTTAGAACTAATAAATTCAGTAAAGTTGCAGGACACAAAATCAATATACAAAAGTCTATTACATTTCTATATACTACTAAACTGTCAAAAAGAGAAATTAAGGGGGAAATTCCATTTGCATTACATCAAAAAGAATAAAATACCTAAGAGTAAATTTAACCAAGGAAGTGAAACACCTGTACACCGAAAACTGTAGGACATTCATGAATGGGACTGAATAAGACAGAAATAAGTAAAGGAAACCATAAAATGAAAGGCAACATGCCAAATGGGAGAAAATATTTGCACATCATATCTGATAAGGTATTAATATCCAAAATATAAAAAGAACTCATGAAGCAGAGTAGGAAAAAAATACAAGTTTAAAAATGGGCAGAGGATTTGAATAGACATTCCAGGGGCTCAACATCACTAATTACGAGGGAAATATAAATCAGAACAATGAGCTATTGCCTCACACTTGTTAAACTGGCTATTATCAAATAACAAGAAACAAGTGTTGGCAAAGATATGGAAAAGAGGGAACCCTTGTGCACTGTTTGTGGGAATGTAAATTGGCGCAGCCACTATGGAAAAGTGTCGAGGTCCTCAAAAAATTAAAAGTAGTCCTAACATATGGTTCAGCAACTTCACTTCTGGGTATTTATTTGAGGAAATGGAAACACAAACTTGAAAAGATATATCCATTCCCATGTTTCTTTATGGCATTCTTAGCCAAAACATGGAAGCAACATGTGTCCTTAGGTGGATGAATGGATTTTTTAAAATGTGGAGTTGATCTTCCTACCAACCTGGACTGTTTGCCTTGGGATTATCATGTGAATGCAAAATTTCTGTCTGTTTTAAGCTTCTTTGTGGCCTCTTTGATAATGACAATTTAGCCTTTACCCTAACTTAGTTCTCAAAGTCTGGTCTTCTGACTAGTTGCATCATCAGCATCACCTTAGAAATGCAAGTTCTTATCAATTGATGGATAGATAAAGAAGATGTGTGTGTATATATACAATAGGCTATTATTCAGCCATAAGAACAAAGGAACTCTTGTTATTTGTGACAACACTGACAACATAGATGAACCTTGAGTGCATTATGCTAAGTAAAATAAGTCAGAGAAAGACACATATATATGGTTTCACTTATATGTAGAATCTACAAAGAAAAGAAATCAAATTCATAGATGTAGAGGACAGATTGGTGGTTGCCAGAGTCAGAGGATGAGGACTGGGCCAAATGAGTAAAGGGGATCAAAAGGTACAAACTTCCAGTTGAAATATAAGTTAGGGAGATATAATTTATAGCATGGTGACTATAGTTAATTATAATGTTAAGCATATTTGAAAGTTGCCAAAAGAATAGATCATAAAACTCTTCATCACAAGAAAAATATTGTAGTTATATATGTATTTAAATTTCTTGAGGACAAAAATTATACATTCCTAATCTTTATGTTTTTCATAACGATACCTAATCTTGTTCACAAATACAGTAACTGACTACAATGTCAAAGTATTAAAATATACCAAATTATTTATATGTTTTTATTACCAATATAATCCATGCCCATTGTAGAAAATTTGTATATAAAAGCAGAAAAGAAAAAAGAAAATTAAAAGATAGCTAATACCACTACCTATATATAATTACTGATATTTTCCTGAGCTATTTATTTTGGAGATAGTGCTAATTCTTTTGAGTAATCCAGAAGTAGGCTGAATTTAAGATGCTAATTTGCAATATTGCGGTCTCTCATCAAAGCTCAGCTTCTTTTATGTCTTATGCTTACTTGTAGGTCGTTATCCTCCTACCACAGGAGAGGTCTGTTTTCATGGATATGAGATCTCAAAGGACCTAACTGAGATTCACGAAAACTTGGGCTTCTGCCCACAGCATGATTTGTTGTTTAATGACTTGACACTCTCAGAACACCTTTTTTTCTACTCTGTGGTGAGTCAGAAATGTTTTAAAATTATACAGTGAATTTAAATTTTTTCTTTTGGTATATAGATTATGAAGTTTAACACATTCAGCTAGCACCACAGAATAGTTTCAACACTCCCTCATGCTATTCCTTTGTAGTCATCCCTATCCCTGCCCTGGTATCACTAGTCTATCCTATATCACTAATGTTTTGTCTTACTGAGAATACCATAAAAATGGAATCATATAGTATGTAACCTTAAAAGATTAGCTACTTAAACAGCATAATGCTTTTGAGATCCATTCAAATGGTCACATGATAGTAGTATGTTTCTCTTAATTACTGGGTAGTAGTTCATGTTTACTTGTAACACTGTACACCAATTAAAGGACATTTGGCTTGTTTCTAGTTTGAGTGAGTATAAATAAAGCTGTTCTGAAATTCATGTGAATTTTTTGTCTGTAAACATAATTTTTCACTTCTCTCAGAATGGGATTACTGGATCATATTATAAGTGTTTAACTTTATAAGAAACTGCCAAACTCTTTTCCAGAGTGATTGTACTATTTTGCTCCCCCACCAGCAGTGTATGAGAATTCCAGTTGCTCCATAACTTTGCCATCTAATAGAGGTGTAACTGTATGTAATCCAGGTTTTAATTTGCATTTCATGAATAGCTGATGATGTTGATCATCTTTTGTGTGCTTATTTGCCATTTTTATACCCTCTGATGAAATGTTTATTCAGGCCCTTGTCTGTTTTTAAAATCTGGATTGTTTGGGGCGCCTGGGTGGCTTAGTCGGTTAAGCGTCCGACTTTCGCTTAGGTCATGATCTCGCAGTTTGTGGGTTCGAGCCCCGCATCAGGCTCTGTGCTGACTGCCAGCTCAGAGCCTGGAGCCTGTTTCAGTCTGTGACTCCCTCTCTCTCTGACCCTCCCCTGCTCACGCTGTCTCTCTCTCTCTCTCTCCTAGAAATAAATAAAACATTTAAAAAAATAAGTAAATAAAATCTGGATTGTTTATTTTCTTATTAAAATTTTGAGTTCTTTATATGTTCTGGATATATGTCCTTTGTTTAATATGGGCTTTGCAAATATCTGTATTTTTTCTTATTTTCTCTAGCTTGTCTTTTCATTTTGTTGGCAATGCTTCTTACAGAGCAAAAGTTTCTAATATTGAAATCTAATTTATCACAATTTTCTTAAAGAATCCTGCCTTTGCTGTCTTTTCTAGAACTCTCTGCCTAAACCCAAGACATGAAGAAGCTGTTTTTACTTCTAATATTTTTGTAGATTTACATGTTGCACTTAGATCTGTGATCCATTTGTGGGTTAGTCTCTGTATAAAGATATAAAATGTAGATCTAGGCTCATTGTTTTGCATATCAGTGACCAGTTTGTTCTGGTGTTCTACAACCATTTTTTGAAAACATTCTTTCATCTTTGAATTACTTTTTCCATTGTCAAAGATCAAATGATTATTTCTGTGGGCTTATTTATGAAGTCTTTCTTATGTACTGTTGATTCACATTGCCCTGATTACTATAGCTTTATAGTTAAGTCTTAATATAAGATAGTGCTATTCATTCAACTATAATCTTTTTCAAAAGTGTTTTAGTTATTGTAGCTACTTGGCCCTTCCAGATAAATATGTGTATTATCTCTTATGTGTCTACAAGAGTTCTGCTGTGATTTTGATTGATATTACATTGAACCTGTATACCTTTCTTCAGACAGAGTAAACATTGTTACCATATTGAGATTTCAAATCCTTAATCGTGGTATCTCTCTCTATTAATTTAACTCTGATTTCTTCACCATTTTTACTTTTCAGTACACAAGTTATATACACACACATTATTTGGAACTTTAAAAGTTTTTTTTTTTATTTCTAGTTTATTGCTGGTACATAGAAAAACTATTGATATTTATATGTTGATCTATTATTCTCTGACCTTAGCTCACTTACTGGGTTTAGGAGGTTATTTTCTTTCCTGGGTTCCTTGGTTTTGCACATAGGCAATCATATCATTGTACAATAGGGACAGTTTCTTTTTTGGTGCTATATGTTTGCCTTATCTTTCTTTCTTTTCTTTTCTTTTTTTTTTTTTTTTTTTTTTGCATGCTGCACTGGCTAGGAATAGCATGATGTTGACTAGGACTATTCAGAGTGTGCCTCCTTGACTTGTTTCTGATCTCAGGGGATGGGATTCTATTTTTGACCATTAAAATTTTTTTTGCAGCTACCCTTTATCACTTTGAGGAAGTTCCTTCCCCCTTGTTTGTTCTCTAAAGTTATTTAAGAGTCTGTTTTTTGGTTTGTCTCTTTTTTACTTTGGTGGTTTCTTTTGTTTCTTAAATTCTACAGATGAGTAAAATAATTTGGTATTTGTCTTTCTCTGACTGACTTCACTTATCATTATACTCTCTAGATCCATCCATGTTGTTGCAAATGGCAAGATTTCATTCTTTTTTATGCCTCAGCAGTATTCCATTGTATGTGTATGTGTGTGCATGTATGTGTATCACATCTTCTTTATGTGATTCAATGTTATTTAATGCCTGCCCATGAGGCTTCTAAAATGATTGCATTTTATTTCTTTTAAAAATAATTTTTTTAATGTATATTTATTTTTGAGACACAGAGAGACAGAGCATGAACTGGGGAGGGACAGAGAAAGAGGGAAACACAGAATCAGAAGCAGGCTCCAGGCTGTGAGCTGTCAGTACAGAGCTAAACATGGAGCTTAAACCCATGAACTGTGGGATTATGACCTGAGCTGAAGTCAGGCACTTAACTGACTGAGCTACCCAAGCACCCCTGAATTATGTTTCTAATGTAAGCATTTAAAGCTATGATTATTCCCCTAAGCACTCCTTTGTTGTACTCCTCAAATTTTGATACAATTTGCTTATTTTCATTTTTATTCAGTTCAGAATATTCTCTACATTCCTTGAGATTTGTTTTGTGTCTCATAGATCATTTACAAGTATGATTTTTAAAGTACAAGTTATGGAAATTTGTCCTGTTTTCTTTCTGTTATGCTTAGTTTAATTCAGTTTTGGTCAGGGATCATATTTTGTGTAATAATGAAGTTTTAAAGCTGCTAAGGTTTAGAAGATTGATTCAAGTTACATCTAAGGGGAGTTCTTGTGCCTCTTGGATTTCTTTTTTTTTTTTTTTAATAGTTTATTGTCAAGTCGGTTTCCATATAACACCCAGTGCTCATCCCAGCAAGTGCCCTCCTCCATGCCCATCACCCCCCTTTCCTTCTCCCCCACCCCCATCAGCCCTCAGTTTCTTCTCAGCAATCAAGAGTCTCTCATGGTTTGCCTCCCTCCCTCTCCCCAACTTACCACCTGGAAACCTTGCTGCCACCATAGACTTGAGAACCTCAACCACAACCTTTAAGGATTTTAGAAGTAGCTTCTCCGTGAAGGAGTACAGATCCTTTTAATTTTCTGAATGAGTAGTTCCCAATCAATGTTTCTTCAGTTAGAGACAACAAGCTGAAGAATCTTAATTCCAGCCAGCAGTCACAATATACCTTGGATCAGATCAATAAAATCTGGATGCAGAATCTGGATGCATCCGTGGTGGCTGCTGCCTGTGCTTACGGACCTGAGGACTAACTGCCCTCTAGAGAAGGAGAAAAAGGGGAGACGGGGCAGGGGAAGGAGGTGAACGAGGAGAAGAGAAAGAAACGGAAGGAAAGAAAAGGAAGCGAGGAAGAGGAGGATGCTGCCGCTTCTGCCCTGTGGCCGCCGAGAGCCCGTGCAGCCTGAGCACCTGGCCCCTAAAACTGCTAAGGTTTAATGACTCGGGATATAGTCTATCTTAGTTACTGTTTATACGCATTTGCGAAAAATATGTTTTCTGCTGTTTGGTTGGAATTTTCCGTAAATATCTAGATTTAGTAACTTGATCTTGTTGCCTAGTTCTATTTGCTGATATCTGTCTAGCAGTTCTGTTACTGAGTGAGGAGTACTAAAATATCCTACTTTAGTCATATATTTTTCTAATTTTAATTTCAGTTCTATTATTTTGTTTTTTTGTTTGCTTTGGGTTTTTTTTTTTTTTTTTAGACAGAACAAAATCAGAGAGATAAGGAGAGAGGTCATCTTAAAGACTCCATGCTGAGCCCCATTGTGGGACTTGATCTCACAACACTGAGATCACGTCCCGAGACAAAAATCAAGAGTTGGATACTTAACCGACTGAGCCACCCAGGTGCCCCTCTGTGTTTTAAGTTCTGTTGTGAGATGTATACATGTTTAAAATTCTTATGTCTTTGTGAAATGATTCTCATATGAACATGTAATGTCCTTCTTTTGTCTCTGGTAATTTTTTTTTTTGTTTTGAAGCCAACTTCATATGACATTAGTATAACCATTCCAGCTTTCTTTTATTTGTGTTTTCATGGTACTGCTTCAAATACATTACTTTAAACCAACCTCTATCATTAAATTTTAAGTAAGTTCCTTGTAGACATTGTATAATATGGTTATGTTTTATATACAATCTGAAAATATCTTTTTTTTTTCTCTTTTCAAACTTCTATTTAAATTCCTGCTAGTTAACATACTGTGCAGTATTGGTTTCAAGAGTAGATTTCAGTGATTCGTCACTTACCTACAACACCCAGTGCTCATCACAAGTGCCCTCCATAATACCCATCACCCACCTCCCTATATCAACCCTCAGTTTGTTCTCCGTCATTATGAGTCTCTCATGAACTGTTTCTGTTTACCCACTCCCATCTGTTTCTTAAATTCCACATGTGAGTGAAATCACATGGTGTTTGTCTTTCTCTGACTGACTTATTTTGCTTAACATCATACACTCTAGCTCCATCCATGTCATTGCAAATGGCAAGATTTCATTCTTTTTGATGGCTGAGTAATATTCCATTGTATATACATACTCTTTCTTCTTTATCCAGTAATTGTTGTAGACATTTGGGCTCTCTCCATAGCTTGGCTATTGTTGATAATGCTATAAACATCAGAGTGCATGAATCCACTT